AACCACGGAAAAGGACACAAATGCCATTAACGCCAGCCTGGCATCTCGTCGTGGCCGATGAATCCTCCGTGGGGGCTGGCGGGAATTGCGGGTGCGTCTGGGAGCGCAGAGGAAGCTGCTGTGCAAACGCTGAGGCCTGAGCAGGAAGCTCAGGAGCTAAAATACACCCTGCCTGCCCTCAAATACACCCTGCCTGCCCTCAAATACACCCTGCCCGCCTTCAAATACACCCTGCCCGCCCTCACGCAGCCCCAGCCCCGTGTGTCACCGCTGGGCAGGGGGACTCTGCAAAAGTGGCACCGTCACAGGCTCCGGTGACTAACGAATCCCAGCAGTACGGCCCCGGAGCAGGAGCTGGAGCATCCCTCTCCGGGCTCCTGAGGGCTCGGGAGCAGTTTCATGGTGCCGAGCTGTTTGGCTGACGTTACACAGACCTCTCCGAAGGCGCGATCCGGCCTGCAGACCTCACACCGCCGTGCGGATAATTAACAGTAACAAACGACCCCGTGGGTGCCTGGAATCCCAAGGCTGGGGTGATGAATTAGCAGCTGAGCAGCCTCGCTTTTACCTTGGAAAAAGGAGCACATCCAAGGTAGAAATAGCTGCAGGGCAGGCCCTCAGCTCATTTTATTCCTGCAGCGAGTGCAGGAGGGTGTTTACAGGAGGATTTTCTGCCTGGGCTTGGGAGCCAGGGACCACAGGTTGCCCAGCTGGAAGCCATGGCTCTCCCTTGCTCACCGCCTGCCCCATCCCTTCAGGAGCTCTGCAGGCTCCCGGCTCATGAGCTGGGGAAACGCCAGCGTGGAGAAGCCGTAGCTCAGCCTTGGAGCTGTTTTCCTGCCTGTGTGCAAACGTAGAGCCTGATCCAAAGACCCCGGTTCCCCCCTGCCCTTCCTTGTCCCCGGGAGCTGCCTCCCACAACCCGCTCGCTTCCAGCGCGCAGGTGCCAAACCAAACCCGTGCTTTGCAGAGCCCTTTGCTTCTGGTTTTCCAATCCCTTGTGGAAGGCCAGCAGTTCCCTGCTGTTTATAAAAAGCTCTATCTGTAAGGAACCGTTGAGAAAAACAATAGCTTTTTTTTTTTTTTTTTTTTTTTTTTTACCTCTTTTCCTCCAAAATGCACTCCCCATCCTGTCACCGCACGCCCCGGTGCTGCCCCAGGCGTGTCGCACTGGGATGGGTGAAGATGCCCAGACCCTCACACGGACGGCAGCATCCTTCCTCCCTCCCTCCCTCCCCGGGCTGGGAAAGCAAAGGGCAAATGGCTGCAGGGAGGCAGAGATCCGCATTATGGACATGATTCTCTTTCTCCTTGGAGAAGCCTTAATCTCAAGCCATTAATAAAAACAGATTTCATGCCGCACACAAAGATTAAATGAATTTTGCCTTGTCTCCGTGGGCAGTATCAGAAATACAGCTGCCTTCATACATTAGGGCTCTGCTGTGCTAAGCCACTAATACTGGAAATGAAGCTCAAGGCTTTTAATCACCCATCAAAGAGTCCTCCAGACTATTGGGGATATTTTTAGGATTTACAGGTATTAGCTCCAAAAAAAAAAAAAAAAAAAAAAAAAAAAGCCCAATTTATCAATTCATCACGATTCAACTCCTGCACATCACCCCTCTCCTCCTCCGCTGGCCCCACAGCACCCATAGCTGGGTTAGGCGGGGGGGTCGCGCCCGTTGGCACCCTCCTGGCCTGCATATGGGGAGGCATTTTGGGGCAGCCAGTCCCCTCAGGCTGCTGCCTTAGTGCCCACTCGCTGACAGAGCGAGCCAAAGCTCGCGGCGCAGCGTTGCCAGGCTCTGAGCAAGGCTTTTGACTCGTCGCCTGGATTTAGTGGTGCTCAGTGGGAAGGGATCCAGCTTCTCCTTCTCTCTACCAATGTGTTCCCTCTGTGAAAGTTGTTTTCATGCCCTTTGCACCCCAGCCAGCTTTTATCCTTGTTTCTTTGGAGGTGAAGGATGAACCGAGCCGGAGGGAGCAGCCCAGCTCTGATGTGCAGACAGAGCCAGGGAGAGCGGGAGGGAAATTCTCGGGGAGCCTTGGCACAGAGCTGGAGAAAAGAGCATCTGCCACACCACGAGCTCCTCCCTGAGCCACAGCCTGAGCACAGGGGAACCCCGATCCCCTTCAAAAAAGCCCTTTTGGGAGCAGGTGGCTGGAAAACACCTCCCTGCTCACATAAAGCTGCCCAGGAGCCGGGGCCTCCCGAGAGGCAGCAATTAGCGCACGGTTTTACAAAGCGCTCCCGGCGTGGGGGCTCCAGGGACGGTACCTCAGCCCCAGCATCTCCCCGCACAAGGGAACGGAGAGGCTTCCCCCTCACCAGGGTCTCCCCAAAGCGCCCAGACGGATCCCCAGGAGGCACAAAGCTGCTTCCTGGGGACGCGTGGGAGAGCTCAGCACCGTCGAGGGAACCCCCACGGCACGAGGCTTCCCCACAGCGACGTGTCCCCCCTCCAACACCACAACCAGAGCCCGACCCCAGCAGCAGAAAGAAGAGAGCTCCCAAGACCAGCAGAACAGAGGGCTCTGAAGCATTTCTAGATGTACGTATATATCATATATTTGTGTGTGTAACTATACATAGATAGCTGCATACTTACACACCCGCACAGGTAAATATTTATAGATACTGACCTCTTCAGATTAAAGTCCAAGGCACTTTTTACAGTGAACAGGTTAAAGCCATAGTTTAAAACATGCCTGTTTCTGGGTACAGCTTGGGTTTATGGCAATGCTGTGGGGACGGGCCAGTGCCCGCTCCTTCCCCCTGGCCAAGAGATTGGACCAGAAGGAGGGATGTAAGCCCGGGGCCGGATCCTGACCACAGAGACACACAAGCGGCTCCCGCTGGGACGTGTGTCAGCAGGTTGGGGTGTGCTGAGACCTCAGCAGGGGGGAAGAACACTTTGGGCAGAAGAAGGAGCAGAGCTGGGGGCACGTTTTACAGTGCCCAGAGCACCGGAGCCCCCACTTGAGAGCACCCGCTGGGCAGGCGGTGCCAGAGCCCTGCCCGGTGGCCCACGGGGCTCCGAGGTGGCTCATCCAGCAGGGAAATAACTAATCCCATGGCGTGGCTTTTCCTCTCCCCTGCAAAAGCCTCTCTCTGCCACCCCAAGCCCTCTGGGTGCCTTTTGGGTGGGAGCTCAGAGCTGGGAGAGGAGAAGCTGGGGCCAGCACAGAGCCTTGCAGCAGCATCTTCGCCTTCTCAAACTGCTGAGGAATCACCTTCCCACCCAGCAAACCTACCTGGTGGCCATCGCACGAGGCTCTGAGCTGGCTGGGAGATGCCGGGCAGGAGAAGCCCAAGGGAGAGCGGTGCAAGGGGGCCAAACACCCCAGAAATCCCCAGGCACCCCCAGACCCAGCTGGCAGCAGAGGAGGCTCAGCCCTGCCCTCCCAGGGGAACCAGCCCCTCTCCTCTGGCAGAGCTATAAACCCCCCGAGCTGGTCCTGGCCATGTCCCAAAAGCTGCTGCCACCAGCTGCCCCACAAGCGGGGGCAAATGTGGGGGGCAGGAACAGCCCCAGCTGGGCAAACCCAGGCAGCCACCATCTGCCAGCTGGTTTCTGGGGGGGAGGATTTCAGGTCTAGGGGCCAGCAAGGAGCCACCAGAGCTCATGGCAGCTCATTGCTGCTGGGACTGGGCCCTACTGGCTTTAACTGGCCTGAGAGGGTCAGGCCAGCATAGCTGTGACAGTAATAACGGCACTAACGAGGACAGCCCGGCAGTGACTGCGGCTCTGATGGGGAGGAGCCAGTGTAGAGGCTTTTAGGCTTTTCCTGGACAAAAGCAGCAGGAATTGGTCCCATAGGTGCTGCTCGTTCCCAGACCTGGTCATGCTCCATGTGGAAGACTGGCCAGGAAGGAGCATTGGGGCTGCAAAAGAATATTTTAAGACTTATTTGACTTATATGATGCAGTGGGGATCAGGTCCAGCAGCTCAGGGGCTGGAGGGAAGGACGCGATGCTCTCTGAGGCTCGAGATGTGCCTCAGCTGGAAGGCTGGGATGGAACATCCCTGCAACCTCATCACGTTTCTCTCGTGCTCAGCACTTTGTCCTCCTTACGCCATCGCAGCCTGAGGTTGAAGGAAGCAAAAAAAGCTGCAGCTCCCCAGGACAGGGCGTGAAGCCCAAACCGGACACCTCCCAGGCACGGCGGCTGCGTTCCCTCGGATTCACCCCGGGAGAGCGGGGTGGCTCCCGGGAACGCGGCAGTGCAGATCACCGGGGCAGGGCTGCCCTTACCCCCATCCCAGAAATTAGGTGTTGACCTGAGAAGAAAAAGTGAGCACACTATTGCTGCCTGCTTCCTTCTGAGCAAAGCCCGCACAGCCTGGCTCCGCGTCTAAGGAGCCAAAGCAGGCAGGAACAGCGTGTTTCGGCAGCCAGCGTGGCACAGAGCAGCTTTGCCAGGGAGGAGGGTGCTTGCACCCTCAGCCTTTGCTAGTCACAAGTGATTCCCTGTCTGGATCCTGCCCCCGCTGAACCAAAACGTGCCGAAAGTCCGGCTGGAGGAAGGGAGCAGCACACCCCAGAACAATTCTTCCACGAGAGCTTCCATCCTGGGGGAAGGGGGGAATTTTGGCTCTTGCACAGCTTGTGCCCAGGGAGCTGAGTCTCTCCTTCAGCTGGAGGAGACAACCTGGGGGAGGAGGGGGAATGGCTTTCCAGAAATTGCTGAGAAAAGGGGGGGCAGACCTTTTCCTTCGGGAGAAGCAAAGCTCTGGTGCTGTCGGGCTGCTGCTGGATCTGGACCTGCTAAAGGGCCAGTTTCCAGGTGCTGGGAATGAAAACCCGGAGGGTAAAGGGTAAAGAGCACGGGGAGCCTTTCTGGCTGGGGGTCCTGCGCCCCTTCTCTGCCAGCCCTGGCCTCCGTCCTCACCGGGAGCAGCGGCTGTACTCAGAAACAGACATTTGTGGCAGCAGGCTGGCGTCGCTGCCTGCTGACAACCGGGTTGGGTACAAAACCATAATTGAAAGTTACAATAACCTTTATAATATAGCAATATATTTCATAGTTAAAATAAACTATTATGCTTTCCCCTATTGTTAAAAAAGAAGCGAGCAGTACAGAGGCAAGATGCAAACCCAGGTCGAAGCTCCTTAAGTCTGGACAGAAACGTCTGTGAGTCTGCAGAGAGGCCGTGGTAATTTTCTGGCGTTTCTAGGACGTTTCCTCACAGGCAGCGCAGGGAGGAGGTTTGTGGAGCAAAAGAAAAAAAAAACAAAAAAAAAACCCCAAATGAGGCTGTGCCAAAAATGAGACTGGCTGTGGCTAGGTGGGTCCTGGAGGGGCTTCGGGGTTCAGCCCCGCCGGTGCGTGGGGTCGGATGCTTCCCAGCTGCAGGAGGTCGGCATCTCTTTGGGATTATAACTCTGCATCGCAGTTTTGTTCTTGTACTTTTCCTCCACCTCGGTCGCTGGTCCCAGCTCTTCTCTCCACTTGTCCCCGATGCCCTTCGGGGCCGCAGGCTCCAATGACATTCTCAGGTGTGTAGACAAGCACCGGCTGGGGAGCATTTACCGGAGCTGTTTACCGGAGCTCTGCCAGCTGCTGCCACGAAGGGACACTCCAGCTCGAGCTGCCACGTTCCCCTGGGCGTGAGCCGGGGGCTGCTGTCGGCACTGAGGCTGCTCCGCTGCCGGGGACCGAGAGCTGCTTGGATGGAGCAGGGCGGCAGCTCCAGGCGGGCACCCCGGGCCCAGAGCCCCCCAGCACCGAGGGATGCTGTGGACTGGGCCATGCTGGGGTGCTGGGGGCTCCCCCCCATGTCTGTGGCACTGGGGTGGTTCCCCGGTCCCGGCAGCGGGGCTGGGTGGGGGTTAGTCCCGGTGCCGGCTTTGGTGGGGTCCGGTGAGACCGGTGCTCGGGGCAGTGGGGCTGGGCTACCGGCACCGGTGTTGAAGCACTGGCAGGGGTGTGGGTGGAATATGGGGGTGCGGGAGGAGGTGGGGGCTGCAGGGTGCATGGGATGCAGGGGGTGGGATGGGGGGTGCAGGGGCGCGCAGGATGCAGGGTGAAAGGTGCAGAGCACAGGGTGCAGAGCCAGGGCCGCGAGGTCTCGGGCAGAGCGGCTGTTTGGGGTGCAGCCTGTGCAGGGGTGAGGCTGGGGGATGCAGGGGGTGGGGTGTGAGGTGCAGAGATCACACCGCCCCAGCCCAGCTCCTGTCAGCCCTTGGTGAAATCCTGCTGAAGCAGCAGCTCTGCCCCAAAACAAACATCTCTTGCACCAGTTGCCATCCCGAAGCTCTCACCACTGGTCCTTCACGACCCTCCGGCGCCTCAGGGCCCAGCAAGCTGACAGTGCCTGGTCTCATCTCACTCAGTTTGATTTCCCAGATTTGATCATTAGCCCGTAAGGCGGCATCAATTCTCAAGCAGCAACGCTTCCTCCGGCTCTCTGACGCTCTAGGATACAACTCTGCACCTCGCCCCCTGCACAGCCCCATCGCACGCGGCAGTTTGTTCCTGCCCGAACCCCCGGAGAGGCGTGGAAGGGTTTTTCTCCTCTGGCTGCCCGCAGGCCAGTGGAGTCACCACGTTGTTTCAGGCTCATTCTCAGCGTTTGCAACCTTTTCTCCATTGCCACGCTGGAAACCTCCTCTCTGAGGTGGGCAGAAGCTCGTCCTGCCGGGGAGGTAGGGCTGAGGGTCACCTGTAGGCACACAGGGAGCAGCAGCAGGGCTAAGAACAGACCTTGGGGGGCTGCCAAGGCAGCGACGCTCTCCCAGCCATCCTGCCCACCCTGCAATTACACTAATGACAAAAGCTTGGAAGAGGGGAAGAGCAGCTCGTTCCCAGAAGCCGAGTATCTCCTGCCGGCTGAGGACCAGAAAAGGCTGGCAGCGAGCGCCGTGCGTCTCCTTTCCTCCCTGAATGCGATGGGAACAACCGTGGCTCGCTACCCTGCTACCCATGGGCTCCACGCAACCACCTCTGCAGCACCAGGAGCTCATTCTGCAGCACTCCTGCTGTCGTCACCTTGCAGCCTTCCTCCTCCTCCTCCTCCTCCTCCTCCTGCCACTGGCTGGGACCGGCAGGGGGGAGCGCTCCTCGCTAGCTACCGCTTGTTTTCCATGTACGTTTAATTGCAGGGCACAAGGAGTAAACCACCTACCACCAGCAGCAAGTGGAGTTTTGCACAGAAATTCCTCGGCATCGGGCTGATATGTCCCTGCCTACGTGCGCACGAAATCCAGCGTTACTTATGGAAGGGAAAGAGTTACAAAGGAGTTTACAGGCTGAGTATACCTGGAGTAACACAGTGACTTTGATTACAATTACTGACACTGCTGGGCGAGGTGTAATTAATATCGCGGAGTAATTACACGGTTACTTCATCTGTTTAAAAATATATAAATAGCCTCTGCTGGGTTTTCATTAAAAGCAGCAAACACCAGCCCCAAAGCTGGAGCCCAGCAGCAGTGGGCAGGGCTCCAGGCAAGGACCCAGCAGAGCCTGAACATGACCCCCGGGCAGCACTGGGGAGGAAAAAAAAAGGCGAAATGGTGAAAACAGAATGGAAAATGGCTGGTTCCAGAAGTAGCCAGGTGATGCAAGGGTACCTCAGGAAGCTGAACGCCGACAATAAAAAGAAAAAAAAAAAAGAAAAAGCACGAGGGGCTGCGCTTTGGCAGGCACAGGCGGCGGCTAATACCGAGCACCGGCACCGTTGCCGAGACGGCGCCGGCCGGTGCTGCTGATCCCCACCGAGCCCAGCAGAAGCGGCCCGAAGGCGACGGGATTTGTTTTAAACAGATGAAGCGCCTGCCCCCGCTACCACCTCACTTGCCAGCGAGCTCCCGCTCGACCTCGGTGAATTTGGCGCTGCCGGCTGGGCTCGAGCGCGGACGTTCCCGCTGCGAGCGGAGGCGGTTGTAGCTGATGGAGTTTTTCATCCGGCAGTTTTGAGGCCGTTGCAAAGAGCCTGCTGGCTTCCCAAAATGCTGGGGATGTGAGCACCGGGAGACCACCCCCCCTGCGCCCGGGCTGGCCCGCCAGCCCCGTCACTGGCCATCACCGCGTTGGCTGGGGGCAGCTCTGCCCAGCCCCGCATCCCCGCACGCTTGAGGCACTGCTTTCCCGGCTCTGGCACGTGTCTCCAGGCAGAATATGACACCGAGGACCAGAAAGAAGAAGCATCTCTTGTTCTGCCCGGGCAGAAAACACTCCCCCCGGGGAGGTTACGGCCAGACACTGGTCACCCACCCGGCAATGCGAGGAGGGGCGGTTCGTGCGGGTCCTGGTAAGGAGGTGGGATGGAGCGCGGGCAGCGTAGGTCAGAGCCTGTGCAAGAAACCACCACGCTGGCATCTGCCCAGGGGGGCTTTGCGATGGTGAGAGGGGCAGGGGGCGAGGGGAGCACCCCGTCCCCCGGCGGGGTCCACGCAGGGGAGGAAAACTCTCCTTCTGGTGTCTCCGTTGCTTCAGTGCTTCTGACTTGTTGGTTTTGTTTTCAAATGTGAAGACCTGAGATTGAGCGTGGGTTTTCCGTCCGCCACCGGACGCCGCGGCGCAGGCTCGCCCGAGGCGTCGCCTCCCGTCCCCTTCCTTCACCACGTGTAGAGGCACCTGAATGGGGATGCGATTCCCGATACCAAGGCGTTGGCAAAGCTCCGAGCATCGCTCGGCACTGCTGGTCCCACCAGCTCCGGCCGAAGGGTCCTGCGGTGGTTCGAGGACCAGAAGAAAGTCCGTGGAGACCTCGGGACCTACGTGGAAACGCTTCCCCTGTCCGTGGGGGACTGAGGGGCTGCGTTTTAGCAGCTGCTTGAGCTCGTGTAAGGGGTGGGGAAGGAGGTGGAGCTGACCCCGATGGGGCTCTCGGAGAGAGGAGTTTGGGGGGTGCCCACCGGCACGCTGACCCCCCGCGCCTCCAGGACGGCGGCGAGCAGGCGCTGCTGCTGCTGGCGCAGCATGTCGGCCATCAGCAGGGGCAGGGAGTTGAAGCTGGCGCTGAGCTGCTCCAGCTTGGACTCCAGGCTGCTGATCTGCTTCTCCAGGTCCTCGCTGCGGTCGTTGAGCTCGGTGATGAGGTCGTACATCACGTTCTGCATCTGAGGAGGGGACAGTGGAGGGGTTAGCGCCACTGCTGCTGGCAGAGCCGAGCCCTTTAACCCCTTTGTCTGAGCAAAGCCAAAGAGATGCCCCATCTCAGCTCTCTCCGGGAGCTCACCCAGGGACATTAAAATGAGGAAATCCTGCCTCCACGCAGGCAGAGAGGAAAGGGGCGGCTGACTGGGGGTGCAGGGAGCCAAGAGCTTTCCTGGAAGCAGGATGACCCCCCACCAGCCCCTGGCTTGTGTCTGTGTTTCTCTCTCTGCCTTGCAAGGGCAGCCACCCCCCAGCAGCTATTCCCGGCTGACATCCACCGAGCCGGAGCATTCTGCGGTCAGCCAGGTCCACTTTAGTTTCTCCAAGTGAAGAGAAACACTCAGGCAGCCTGGCCGAGCCGAGAGGTCGCCGCGGGGACTTGCCTTTGAGAGGTCAACCAGGGTGTTGGCTTGGTCGCTCAGCTTCCTCTGCTCCATCTTCACGCTCCGCAACCTGGGGAGAAGGAAAGAGCGAGGCTGCACCCCCTCCCCAATTACAAACCCGTCTGCGTCCCAGGCAATGGGAAATTGTCCCCGCGCTTCTGCCAGGGGCAGGACCATGATTCCCCCAGGGCTGGGGCTCAGCATCCCCCCCCCAGCACCCCTGCCCAGTGCGCAGCCCCTTACTGGTGAATGGCTTGTAGGAATTTCCTCTGATGCTTCCTGACTTTAGCGTGGTCGATCTTCTTCAGCAGCTTGGTGTGTTTATAGATGAGCCACGTTTCCCGCAGGACGTTGGCTGCTGCGTTCTTGATCTGTAGGAGGAGAGTTGGCTGCGGGTCACCAGCTGTGCCAGCACACGGGATTTCACGGAGACACTGGCCTGGCTCTACCGTGAGCTGACGGTTTGTGAGCCGGTGCTGCAAGAGCACTTGACTCGCCCCAGCTGGAGCGAGGCGCTCGGCTCCGCTCCCATACGGTCTCTTGCACCTTCGCAAGGGATCACAGGCAGCTCGAACGGGAGGAAGGGCAGGCAGAGCTGCCTGCACTGAGCCACGGGGCTCAGCTCCCGGTCCACCCGCATCCCCATCCCACCCTGCGCCAATGCTCCGCCACCGGGCTCCTCGCCCACACATGAAGCTGTACCCTAATCCTCAAAAAAAAAAAAAAAAAAAAAAAAAAAAAAAAAAAAAAAAAAA